AAAAAAAAAAAAAAACAGGAGAAAAGTATGTTAAAAATGATTATTGTGGTCTGGGGCTGTAGCTCAGTGGTACAGTACTTGCCTTGGCGCATAGGAAACCCGGATTCAATCCCCACCACTGCAAGAAAAGAAAGAAAAAGAAAAAAGGTTACTGCTTGATAGTGGATAATGAAAATTTTTGTTTGAACAGTATTCAAATTTCTGTGATATGAATAAAAAAGTTTTTGATGAGAAAGGGGCCTCCAAAAATTTATTTATTTTTTTCCTTTGGAATATATCTCCATTCTTTTTCTACCTTCCTGAATCCTGTGAGGAACTTGTTTTGGGTCACATCCAGTATCTAGATTTTCTTGCATTTATAGCATGTCAAGTATAGGAAAAATGAATCATAATTGATAGTACCTTGGGTAGTCTCAATCCCTTTTCCTGAGGTCTAGGAAAATTTCTCCTCTTGCTAGAATTCAAAGGCTTTCTTTATTCTTTGGTAGCCTGGCCATCTGGCTCTATCATTTCCTTGGTCCTTGCTATGCTCTGAGAGGTTTCTAACATGGAGCCTCACAGGACTTTTCTTATGTCTTTGGTTCCTGATATCAATTGTGGAGGGGCATCCCAAGCCCTCACAGGGCTTTCTCCATGATCTTGACTCTTTTGTCCTACCTCTGAGCTATCTCTCCCTGGGGCCCTACCAAAGTGTACCTGCAGGCCAGGCGAATAGATGCTTTCATCAGGCATCTGGGTGGGAAAGAAACTTTTGCTGGCCCTTCTGAGATTAATCCAGGTGGTGGTGGGGGTGCTGAATATGGGAATGCCATTGCAAATGGTGTGGAGAATAGCTTTAACCGAGGGGCTTGACCAACTTAGGCTCAGGGACTACAGGGGCTTGTCATACCTGTCGGGGATGCCATCTGGGTCTCTTCCATTTGGGACTGCGTCCTGCCCAACCAGTCACCTTCAGAAGCATCTCCTCTGCACACCTCCGCATGCCAGGGGCTTGCCTCGGCTCCCTGCGGTTCAGCTTGCCACTTAAGGTGGGACTGCTCAAACTGAAGCAACCTACTGCGCAGTACATTGCGCTCCTCAAGGGCATACTTCAGCTCTTCCTTCGCTCTCTGCAACTCCAAGGCTATTTCATTGTGCTCCCCGTAAAGCTGCTGCACCTTGGTGGTCAGATTGCGGCGAACCGCCTGTTGTCGCCCCACCTCTTTGTGCAGCCGCCGGGCATAGTGTGCCCCCTGCTCCCGCTGCCTGGCAGCCTCTCTCACACCCAGGGCTAGTGCGCTCCAGGCACAGGCCCCTCTTGATGGTATGCGACACCTGTGGGTCGGCCACGATAAATTTCAGGCAATTTTCTATCTCATTCCAGGGCTGCGAGTGAAAGGTCAGGTAGAACGCTGGGCCACCGCCATTACTAAACACTTCTTCATTAATGAACTTGACCACGTCACTGTGGCAGAAACCATTCTTGTAGTCTCTGACGTTTACAGCCATGGCCGCTGTGGCTTAGTGGACACACTGCCGTTACTCTTACAAGCTATGGACTACCAACTGGCCCACCCCTCGCCTTGCCCGGTCCTGTTTCAGTCCTTTCCCAGTCCTGGCCCCTCTCTTGACCTCTTTACTCCCTCTTAGAATGAAAACTGAGGCCTTGAAGCCCGTTTCCTCACACCAACTCCTACTTGGCAATGCATTAATACGTCATCAACACTGGCTCTTTGTTTTGCCGCAAGACTTGATGGGACCACCATACCCCACGAAGCTGACCTCACTATTCCTGCAAATTGGGAGGCTGCTGTACAGGGTAAGCCAGCTGGGGGACTGTCCTGGGGATTGTAGCAAGTCCAGAGAGGACTCGTGTCCAAGAGCTTCTGAAGGACAACTCCCAGTCCACACGACATGAGTTTCTAATCTGAAAGTGGGATAGGCGGACACATGAAGGAGGGACTTTTTTGGTGCTACCCGCTCACCCCTAATTCTCAGTAGCAGTGTCTAACCTTCTATATAGTTTCACGCTGTCTACACTGTTCCCGTCTCACCTTAAGCAAATGACCTTAGAGACCTGCTCATAAAGAAAGTCTAGCAGTTAAGCTATGCAGTCCCTCAGCTTTCCTTGCTAAATTCTATTTCCATGCTCTGGATGTATCTGCTATTCCATTTCCTCAGGGATGATGTTTTGTTCTTTGTTTTTGTTTTTGAGACAAGGGCTTGTGCTGTAGATCAGTCTGGCTTCCAATTTAGATCCTCTTGCTTCAGTCTCCTTAGTGTGGGTATTATAGGTGCATGCTGCCCCTGGAATTTGAACACATCCTATTCCTTCATCTGCATCTCCTATCTTTTGTGCTACTGGATGCTTTGCTCTCATACAGCAAACCTGTTAAACTTCCTTTCATGTGTAAATTTATTTCTTCTTCTACCCTGTGTCTTGTCCTTCTCAATACCACCCTGCTCTCTTCTCAGAATAGTCTGCATTGTGCACCTTTTGCCATTCAACCTTTTACACTTTGAATTTCAACTTCAAAACTATAGTTCAGTCCTAAAGGTCAGCAGCAGTCTCTACTTCAGTACAAACGCTAGTGGATACTATGAAAGTTAACGTTCATGTGATCCTTCAGTAAGGTGTAGGGTTTTTTTTTTGTTTTGTTTTGTTTTGTTTTTTTTGGTTTTTTGAGACAGGTTCTCATTACATAGTTGAGACTGACCTGCCCCAGGCTGGCCTTGAACTCTCAAGTGATTCTCCTGCCTCAGCCTCCCATGTGCTGGGATTACAGGTGTGCACCACCACGCCCAGCGGTAAGGTTTAGTTCTGTTGAACATTCTTTCCCTGAAACTCTTGTTTGGTTTCTGCAACATCAAATTCTATTGATGTCCCTCTTTTCCTCTGGTTTATTTTTCCCAGTTTCTTTGAGCTACTTGTTTTTTGGCTCAAGACCCCAAAGTTGGTGTTTCCTGTTTTGTCTTCGGACTCCTCTTTTCATTCTGTATGCTCACCTTGGATGGGTTTATTCATGCCTATAATTTTAAATATTACCCCTATCACAACTCTGTGTTTCCAATTTATTCTGCTCTCTTGGTCATCAAATCAGTGTTTTTGTCTTCTTTTGGCAGATAGTTATCAAACACATAGTTCACTTGACAAAAAATGGTGAAAAATATTGAGAAGTTATTGACCATAATCATGCCATTTATATATCCCATTGGTGTACTAAGAAATGAAAAAATAAACAAGGTATTTATAAATCATGATGTGTGCTATTAAGTTAATATGTAAATTGATGTGGCCGGTTGAGAGTCTGCAGGGGTCTGAGATTATGTCTGTCCATAAGGCATTTAGGAAAAGCATCTGAGAAAATCATATTTGATCTGAGATCCAGAACTGCAGTGGTGAATGTTTCATACTTCTGAGGTATATTTAAAATTTTTATACCTCTAGAGAATAGAACAAATGCTAAAGTAACCAGTGCATAATGTAAAATGCTGCAAATGTTAACTCTTGAGCCTCATTCTTTTGTTTTGTTTTGCTTTGCTTCTTGAGACAGTCTCACTATTTAGTTTAGACTGACCTTGAACTTGCTATGGAGCCTAGGCTGGCCTTGAACTTGTGGTAATCCTCCTGTCTTAGCCTCTAGAATACTGGTATTACAGAATACACCATTGCACCCACTTGGGCCCCCACTCTTTATCAGCGATGTCTTCTTTTTTATGACACTTGAGATTGAACCAATTCACAGTGAGATACATTCCCAGTCCTTTTAATTTTATTTGTGTTTCAATTTGAAACAGGATCTCATTAAGGTGCCTGAGCTTGGCTTGGGCTTGTGATCTTCCTCCCTCAGACTCCCAGACTGATGGGATTAGAGGTATATGCTATCATACTCAGGTCCTTGCCCTTTTGAGGCAGGCGGCAGCACCACTAAGCTAAATCCCTGGCCCAGGAAGTGTACTTTTTAAGGGATGAAAAGCAATAGCTCTCCAATGAATTACAGTCATATGTAATGATGACAATAGCATCTGCAAAATACACAAACTCTTCCACTTAGTTGATCCCAGAGGGTGACCCAGGTAGCAAGGGGGTCTTCTGGAGGGGTATCGCTGTCCATTTTGTGTTGCTAAAATAAAGAAGCTGAGACTGGATACTTTATAAGGAAAGATGTTTATTTTGGCTCATGATTTGGAGGCTGGAAAGTCCAAGTTCAAGTTGTCACATTTAATGAGGACCTCATGCTACATCATGTCATGATGGATGCATCATATGTTGGTTGCATGTGTGAGAGCAGCAAGGAAGTGTGTGCAAAAGAAGGCAATTGTGACGTGGCCTTACTTTCTAACAGCCTACTTGAAATAAATTATCAAGTTCCATAAGACCTAACTCACTTCCACAAAAAGGTCATTGATTCTTTCTCAGGGTAATGACCCCATGACCTTATCATCTCCTATTGACTTTACCTGTTAGAGGTTCCACCACCTCACCATACCTACCATTACATTGGTTGGGGTCTGTCATGGCTTATATCTAAATGACCCCTAAAAGTCTCATGATCAGAGAGCTAATGGGAGGTGACTGAATCATGAGCATGACCTGAAAGGATGTGTTCTTGTCCCTGACTCCTCACTTCTTCCTCTGCTTCTTGGACATCATGGTGTGAATAGTAGTCTTCCAAAAGGCCCTTTCACCATGCTGTTTTTGCCTTGAAGCCTGCTGGCCACAGACAGAACCCACTGAAACTGTAAGCCAAAATAAACTTCTCCTCGAAGTTGCAAATGTCAGTTATTTTGTCCATGTGACAGGAAAGTTAATGATAGAGGACATTGGCACCAGGTGTGGGGTTATTGTTTTGAGTGTACTTGAACATATAGTTCAGAAGACCTTGGAACTGGTTCGTGAAAGAGTTTGAAAGCTTTGGAGATAGCAACTAGAGAAGCCTTAGAATGCTGTAAGCAAAGATGGATGAGAGATTTTTGATAGAATTCAAAAGACCAGAATAGGAATGTGGACAGTAAAGGTCATGTTCAGGAGGTTTCAATTGGGAATGAGAACTCCAATGGCATTTGGACTAGAAGTCATGCATGTTACCCTCTGGGAGAAAATTTGTCTACATTCTACCCACATCCTGAGACTGCAAGAGACTGAGATTAAGGGAAGTGGACTAATTAATCTAGCAGAGGAAATAAAAAGGCACTCTGATGTTCAGGCTGTGATATGGGAACAGCTATCTGCCTTTAGCCAGATCTACAGTTAGAATCAGGAGAAAATGGCAGAGCTGAATGATTTTAAAAGCTTTGCAGTTTCACCACTAAGGAAGTACCTGCAAAACTGGGGCAAAGGAGGCCATAATTTCTTTTTCTTTCTTTCTTTTTTTTTGTACCCAGGATCAAACCTGGGTCCTTGAGCTTGCAAAGCAGGCAGAAGAACCACTGAGCCAAATCCCCAGACCCTAAAGGCCATAATTACTGAAAAGATTAACATTAAAAAGAAGTCAAGCTCTTTGTACAGTGATAAGAAGAAAGATACCTTGAATGTACCTCAGAAATCAGCAAGACTGTTTCTATTGCAGGCTCAAGGGCACAAAACCCTAAATATTTCATTTGAGAATAGACTCTTTGGGACACCTGCTCATTCAGGGCTCCCCAAGAAAGTAGAGTCCTGAGTTCAGGCATCAAGACACTCAGAAACTGTTGCAGCCATAGTCCAAAGGGGCCCAGCTACTGCTCAAGTGGGTGGCAGATCATCCACATAGTACTGATTTTTCAGACTTGCAGAATACAAGAGTTATGGGGTCACAGAGGCTTCCACCTAGATTACAGAAGGAGGCCTGGAAGGCTAGGCAAAAAAAATGTGGTGTGACAGGGTTGCGGTCCCTGCCAGGAGCCTAAGAGAAGATGAGGCATGAACCTGTAAGTGTGAAGCTCTCACCACCTCTACTCAACTTAGTGTTGGTAGTCTTAGCCCGATCAATTATAAAAGGAAAAAAAAAGCACACATATTGTAAAGAAGTAAAATTATCTGTTTCCAGATGACATGCTCTGACTCATAGAAAACATTAAAATTTCCATAAAAATCCTGTTAGAACTAATAAACAAAGTGATCAAAATTTCAGAATATAGCTGGGGATATAGCTCAGTGGTAAGGCATTTGCCTAGCATGCACAAGGCCCTCAGTTTACTCTTTAGCACTTCAAAAACAAAAAGCAGTGATGAGATAAGTATATAGAAATCATTGAATTTCTATGCAATAATAATGAATTATCTGAAAAGGAAATTAAAAAAATAATTCCATTTAGAATAGCATAAAAATAAAATTATTAGAAATAAACCTACCCAAAGAGGTGAAAGGCTTGTATACCAAAAATCCAAAAAAGGGGCTGAAAGCCAGGCATGGTGGCGCACACCTGTAATCCCAGCACTCGGGGAGGCTGAGGCAGAAGGATTGCTGTGAGTTCGAGACCAGGTCAATCTCAACTATATAGTGAGACCCTGTCTCAAAAAACCAAAAC